TCAGCCGAGGGGAAAGTGTCTTGATATAATTATGCGGTGTACGGAGTATACCCGTTACATATGTGATTAGACTTCCAACATAAGAGTGTTAATATAATGAATCACCGTTCAAATAAAGTATTCTTTGTTATTTTTAGTTTACATGCTTGCTTTTTCTTCTGTCCCCGCTTCTTATCGCTAAGAGATGAGTTGGATTGTGGCGATGTGGCTGTGCGTGTTTATGAGTCTACAAAGTACAGGGGTTATTTTCTAGTCAAGATATATGTTGTATATTGTACATGTAAGGTAGCCAAGAGACATTTACATAAGGATAATACTGATTGGTGTAAATGTATGCATTGGGGCTCCATTTGAAAGTTCATATAGACATACGGTGAGTTTTCAAAGTGTGTATGAAATCAAGTCAAAAACATTGATACAACTAGAACTAGAATCACAATTCACACAATGAACATCGTTGTAAGCAATTTCTACCCCTCATGAGCTAATAACCAGTGCCAACCAGAACGTTCTACTCGAAAAGTACTAACTAAAGATCCACAAGATCAGCGTCAGAGTTTTCTGAATATTTTGGCCTTATGATGTAGTCCTCGACACCTGAGGCTTATTGCCCAGGTAACACCCCCACCAACCGGTAGACAAGAATGGTACACAAAGATACTTTGGTTCTCCGCTGTAGTACCATGGAAACAGATGTACCAATAAGTATTGCCATGTAGCTCCCTAGCTCTCCGCGCATAGCTTTTTTTTTTTTTTTTCCTGCCGTCCCTGAATTGCCTTCGCCCCTCTTCTCAATCTTTCCCTCTATTCTTCTATTTAAAAACTCTGTGCATTTTTATTTACGACTCTTCACGAAATACATACCCATTATGTCTAACGATCAGTCCCTCCTTGACCGCGTCGAGATGCCTAGCATCCCCGAGGCTGCTATGAAGAAGATTGCTGTTCTTGAGGAGCAGTTCTCTCGTGCTGAGGTTGAACAGTGTATGTTTGTGATTTCCTTTTGTTAGGGTGAACAGCGTTGCAGAATACTCTAGATCAACATCCATTGAGAAGTGTACCAATTGCTAACATACACAATCTACAGTGCGCCACTCTGTCAAGCTCATGACCCCTTTGATCCAGAAGCGCAGTGAGATCATCAACATCCCCGAGGTGCAGGCTGAGTTCTGGATGCGCGTGTTTGCCAGTGCTCCCCCCGAGATCGACGAGTACATTCTCTCCAGCGATGCCCAAGTTCTCGGCGAGAGCCTCAAGAACATGAACGTTGAGCGATTCGAGCTCGATGCCCAAGGCAACGGCGAGCCCCGCAGCTTGCGCTTCACCTTTGAGTTTAAGACCGGCGAGGAGAACCCCTTCTTCACCAACGAAAAGCTCGTCAAGGAGTTCTACTGGCGCCAGGAGGTGTCCAAGAACGCTGCTGGCAAGACCCGCACCTGGGAGGGTCTCGTTTCCGAGCCCGTCCGCATCAACTGGAAGAAGGATATGGATTTGACCAAGGGCATGCTCGATGCTGCTTGTGACCTTGCTGAGGCCGAGAAGAAGAAGGGCGGTGACCGTAAGAAGTTGCCCGAGTACGCTGCTCTTGTTAAGAAGGTTGAGGAGGCTGAGGCTGAGATTGCCAACGCTGAGGATGACGAGGATGATGAGAACCCCAGCCCTGTTGGCATGAGCTTCTTCGGATTCTTCGGATACCGTGGCCGTGATGTCTCTGCTGCTCAGTCCAAGGAGGCTGCTCAGGAGATCGAGGCTCGCTGGGCCAAGATCCAGAAGGGTGAGGAGATCGACGAGGCTGGTGACTCTGACTCCGACGATGAGGAGGATGACTCCGAGGGTCTTGAGGAAATCGATATCTTCCCCGATGGAGATGACCTTGCTGTTGCCATTGCCGAGGACCTCTGGCCCGATGCGCTCAGCTACTACGGTATGTAGATCCCGAGCGAGGTGAGACGTATCCGCTAACTTTGACCGCAGTTCAATCCTTCCAGATCGGCGAGGAGCTCGAAGATATGGACCTCGATATGGAGGAATTGGACGGAGAGGACTCCGATGAAGATAGTGAGTCGCGCCCGCGCAAGAAGGCTCGCAACTAATCCCATTTGCACCCGAAACGCCCCCCTTTTGATGATTTTTTGCTTTTTTCCTAACCACATGATTTATATATCACAGTGCAATGAGAAGGATTAATAATAAGACGAGGACGAAGATGAGCGCCGCGATACAAAACGAGGACCATGTATCTAGTCGAAAAAGTTAGTTTGAACTTGAGATTCCCATACCAGACCAGACCATCCCAGTAGAGATCCAGCATAGATGGAGTAAAACGGGGAAACCAAATCTCTTACCCTCATTCTTGCGTACAATATGCTTGATACGCGACATTCCATTCGCCAACTTGCCCCCAACCCTGTCCGCCAGGGTATCAACTTCGTCAATCATGACAGCCTGATCCTCCAACTCACGACCCATATCATCAGCCTGCTGACGCAGATTCCCAACAGTGCGAAAAACACCATCAAGCTGCTCGTCCTGTTCATGCATAAGCTCAGACTGACGCTGCTGTTCCATAGAAGCATAATAATTCTCCCCGCCACGCCCGCGCTCCTCCTCTTCAAGCGCAGCATCAAACTCAGTAGGATTGGGTAGAGTATCAACAGCATGGGAAACAGTCTGCTGCAGCTCCTGGTGCATTTTCTCCACCTCGTCACCGACATCGTCGACGAGCTTGCGCCGCCGCTGCACCTCCTCTAATTCCAGTCCATAGCGATAGGGGTCTTGTTCGATTGCGCGGACGCTCTCGACGAGGTCGTTGAGATCAGCTGTTAGCTCTGTTAAGGTTGTTTCGAGCTCGGCGCGCGATTGCTTGAGTTCGGGGTTTGATGGGCTTTTGGCTAGCGACCGAATGCGGAGGTATGAGGAGAAGAGTGGCCGGCTGGTTTGTAGTGTTGAGACGACGTCGCTGGGAGGTTGGTTAGCTGGGGACTTGGAGTTTGGGGGTTTGTAATGCTCACGCTTGGACTTGTAGGAATGGGTCTGCGTGCTCCATGGTTGCGTTATGGTGTTTTACGGTGTGTTGTTGATAGTTCTCGGCCCCGGGTTGGTCCACGGGTGAGTCTGGAGCGGAGGGTGTTGCTGACTGATTTCTACGGTGGGGAGTTGGGACAACTGCGCAGTTTTGGCCTGACGGGAAAGCAATTCTGCCTTGAATGAACTCCACCTTTCACTACAAGCACGATTGAAGTATCGTCAGCTCTATTTTTGGATGGCATATTAGCTACCTAACTATGGTATATTGGTTATCTTTTTTGAGGAGCTAACGTCGTTTTTCAAACTCTCAAGTCTTACACATCATTGATATCACTCCTAGTTTCAAGCTTCCCCCAAGGCAAGAGCAACAGCTTTTCACGATGGATCAAAGTTTTTGTAGACTGGACTATGCGTGAGCTTATAAAATAGTTTGTCTATGTCAAGCGCTGGTCTTTATTTCAGCTATTCCTTGAAGCGACTGATTTTAGTCAATCACACATGCACCTATTGCATAATACTGCGACACATATCGCTTTATGTTTGACTACTGAGCGAAAGCAAGATTTCCTCACGATCCAGGGAGTGGCTTCAGACCAAGACGAATTATGTTATTGTGGTTGCTCATCGATTGCTCTACGGAATCACGGAAATCCCAACGAGGGTCATATACCCAAACCTGTTATACTACGCTTTGTCCTAAAACTAGGTCGAAATGGGTTATTTCTAGGTTTTCTGGGGCCTAGTCACTGGTCTAGGTTATAATCCTTCCACCTAGACTAGAATAAGTTGGGTTTCACGTCGAGACCTCCGAGTCAAAATGGGTCGTACGGAAGCTTAGAGGAAACCCGGGGGCATGCAAACGGCGTCATCCTTCATGGGTATGGTGTTTATGTCTAGGCCACATGTGAAGGAGAGAAAAGCGAAACTAGATTGTTTGATAGTCTTTTAAGGTTCTCTCACACGCCGAATCGCATGCGGCTGGCTTATATTAACCTAATACAACTTTATGCGATTAGCATTACCATGTGACCAACCCTTTATAAGGTTAAACCGAAGCCAGAGAAGGTTATTTTAGGACTGGAAAAACTCAGAAAGCAAGTATTTCCACTTGATAACAGAGACAGATAGTGCCGTTTTCAACGAATCTCGCCACTGCATTGAAGATGTGCGACATCAATGACTTTTACCTAGAACACTGTTCAAGGAGATGTAACCTCCAGCTTGTCTATAGACATCCAACAAAGCTCTCAAGGAATATGCACGAATCACTTGTGTTGCGCAACTGTTATAGCTTCTTCTGAAATCACTCTAACCTACTCACTAGGTGGAAGGCAACACCGAGGATGGGTCAATCTCCTTCTATTAAGTCGGCTCGGTTACTGAGACACTGTACTTATTCAAAAATGTAGACTACTATATATTATCAATCATCTCCCTTAGATTGAAGCCACGTCAGACTCACTCGTCTTCAGAGTGTGGGGGGTAGATATTCACTATACCTGCATTAACTCGTATATCCCATGGGTAAAAACAGGGATTTTGTAGAGGATGGCGTATAACTACGAACCCGGTCTCTCCAAAGCATATCGTATAAGCCTTGTGTTAAAACCCGGTTTTTGTCGAGGATGGTATTGCCTAAAGGATTTATGGTACGTGATCTATAATCTCTAGTCTTGGTGAATACTATAAGTAGCCATTTATAGCCCTTACTTCACTTCGGTCTATCCTTCATTTCTCTACCTCTATCCTTTGAACAGATTTTTCTAGGCAGTTCAATACTCTACTCGGCCAATTTCAGTCATATCATATAAATCGGAATGGCTATGCTATCCTTCAACCATCTTCTACCCCTCCTTATACCGCCCATCTTATACCTAGCTACTGTCATCCTCTATCGTTTATATTTACATCCTTTGGCAAAATTTCCGGGTCAAAAGCTCCACGCAATTAGCGCCATCCCTTGTGCCTACTCTATGGTGAAGGGCCGCCTCCCATTCAAGAACAGACTTTTACACGACAAGTATGGATCTGTTATACGCATCGCACCAAACGAACTTAGTTTCAACACTGCACAAGCTTGGGAGGACATATATAGCTTCAAACCAGCAGGCAATGCTCAGCTTCCCCGAGACCCTATCCATATCGGATCGGTGGATCCACTAAACGGTGTCTATCCTATGACATTGTTAAACGGTGCGGAGCACGGTCGACTACGTCGGGTCTGGTCCTATGCCTTCTCTGATAAAGCATTACGACAAAGTGAGGAGCGAGTCCAAAGCCATATAGGAAAACTTATCAATCATCTACGACAACGAGAAGGTGATGAGGTAAACTTAGCCCGGTGGCTCAGTATGACAACATTCGAAATAATTGGAGACCTTACTTTCGGAGAGCCGTTTGGCTGTTTAGAAAAAGATAATGACGAGTCATGGTATAAGTTGAATTTTGCAACATTCAAAATTGCCGCCTTAGAGCAGGCCACTCGTCGCCTAGCTGAGGTCAACTCCTGGGGCCAACGATGTCTAATGGCATTAATTCCCTATGCTTGGAGGAAACTACGACACGACCACTTGATATGCAGTCGCGATAAGGTATTACGACGCCTGGAAAAGGAAAAGCACGAACAACTCGACTTTATAGCCTATACGCTCAAACATAGAGATCAATTCAATTTGAATGATAGCGAGGTCATCGTCAATGGAGCTACATTTATCGCGGCTGGAAGCGAGACCTTGTCTAACCTTCTTTCCGGCCTAGTCGCACAATTGCTTTACAATCCGGAAAAATACGAAAAGCTCAATCATGAAATTCGTTCAAAATTTGCCAAATCGGAGGAGATCAGCTATGACCGAGCCGGTAAACTCCCTTACCTGAGCGCTTGTATAGAAGAGGCCCTTCGGTTGAAGCCGCCAGTTGGTGAGGGTCTTTTAAGGCGTGTACCGGAAGAGGGGGCCACAATCGATGGACATTGGGTTCCAGGAGGCATGTCAGTGTCAGTCGACCCGTGGGCCGCATCCCATAGTGAAGGTAACTTCCGGGACTGCGATGAATTTGTCCCCGAGCGATGGCTATCAGACCAGGAACATTACTTTGCAGCCGACCAGCGAAAAGCTACCCAACCTTTCTCGCTAGGACCGCAGGGGTGCATAGGCAAAAATCTAGCGTACATGGAGATGAAGTTGATTATGAGTCACTTGATTTGTAATTTCGACATCAAGAGCACGGATGGAGCCTGGCAATGGGACCCTACAGGCCAGATGAGGAATCTCAGAGTTTATGTCGTCTGGGAAAAGCCGCCATTAAATGTGAGCCTCACGTCAGTCAACTCATCAACCTAAAAAGCGAAAGATTTTCGAATGCAGTAGGTGTGGGAATGGAGCTGTTATCGGTTTCCCTAGTCCTATTGTCTTGAATATGTAATTGTCACTCTCGGGTGTCCCATCTCTCTCAGGCGTAGGAGAATTGGTTCCATCTGCATATCAACTATGAACCAATTCTGCAAATGGGTATTTATCATACCCTCTTGTTGGATAATCTCATCTCACATTGTTTTCTTGGAGACTGAGCGGCTTGTTTGTCAGAAGCAGGGTATAAATACCCTTCTCTTTGCTAGATTGAACAACAATGATTATTCTTCCCTTCCTTCAATTCACCAGTGACCGTGACACCTCTGCCTACCATTCCTTTAATCCTAATCAATTCTACCAATCGGTTATCGACTACTAGTTGCTTCAGCTTAGAGAAACCCAAGAAGTTAAACACTCAATCAGACTGCGACGCGCATTGTCCGATACTTCGAAGTGATAGCTCAAGCTATGGCTGATATAATAAATGGTGTTTGGACTCCCTTGCTATATATACCCTTAACCATTCTTGCATGACAGACTCTTGATCACACCTATTGTTTTCTTTTCACCATAACCCGCTCACCATTGACCTCCATATCACCGCTTTCAATCTCAATATCGACAAATCCATTCCGTAAGTATAGCTTACGAGCCGAATGATTATCCTCTACCACGGATAGTTTGATAGTGGTGGCACCACTGCCATAAGCCCATTCCTCAACAGCAGCCACTAGCGCATCCCCGACACCACGACCTCGTGCAGAGGGAGATACCCACATAGATACAAGTTCTGCAGTCTCAGGTTCGTCAAGTAGAATTCCCCCGGCCATGCCCACTATCGTGTCTTCGAGAGAAGCAACCACTTGGTAGCCGCCGCATATGCTAAGCCGGTCGCGCCACCGTTGCTCAGACGCATTTTCCCAGTCTGCTAGTTTTGATGAGAATGCATAGGGTGCGTTCGCAAGTGCAGCCAGTCTTTGGTGTTTCCATATCTCCCATTCGTCGGGACCAATATTTTGAAGCTTGATCATTTTTATGGTTGAATATAGTGCGAGGTGGAGGTAAGCCCAAGATTTATGAGGGTACAGGCCAAATGCGAGTGATGGTAGGAATAGAGCATATAGTGAGACCCCTAGACGTCGGCGTTAGCTTAAGTTGGTGGTAGTATTGAGTCCAGGTGCTCGGAGGTAGTATGAGCGACAGGAGAAAGCAAGAGCCATATGGAAAGTAAGAAGAACAATGTGGGCCTACCAGTGTCAGTATTCTGCAGCAATAGCACGGGTCCTTAGCAAAGGGAAATAAAGGTAAAGTTGAGCAGAATAAAAAAAAAGGAAATGGAATAAACGTAGATTAAGCATATATATCTCCCCGGCGTGGAGGCTTACAGTATTTCACAATGACTCATTCCACGATGAAGTCCAATAGCCGTTTATGAATCGTGATGCAGGGGTTATTTTTGGAGTAACCTAATAAAGGTTAGCCTAATTCTGGACACGAGGAACAAATCGTGGAGTAATCCCCAGAGCTACGTTCGAAAATTCGCTGTACTTCCAAGATCTGGAGGAAGCACCAAGTTGGTTGTACGGGGTCATATATCGGGCATCAACACCTTCAGTACTGGGATCCTGACACTGGACACTTACTGGGCATGGATGGTCAGAAAGCCTACATAAGTTGGCTGTTCGTGTATTATATGCAAGGAAGAAGTGAGTTCTGGAAGCTTAGCAAATGAGGCGGTCACAACTAATATCAAGAGCAATGCCGATATTTTCAGTGGTAAACACCGCAAGGCCTGCTCACTGTTCGAAGTGTTTATAAGCAAGTATACTCCAACTTCCAATATATACTTCAATCTGTTTGCATAGTTTCAATATTATCATCATTCCATTTTGGGCTTCTAACGTCGTTGAAGTAGGCCGGCTTAGAAAAGTATGCCTCTATCATCTTCACAAAGTATGCTGAATTGGACGAACGAAGCATATCTTCCAGAATCTTAGCGACCGCATCTCTCTCTTTGGAAGTAGAATCAGCACCACGGTTTTCCGAACAACAACTGCAACCTATAGTACAGTGTCCAATACCCTTGGTCCTATAGGTCGTCAAATGGCGGCTTTGGCAGCGCCCACAGCTCCGACTGTGGCAGCCTCCTCTCTCCGCACAGTCTTTGACTAGCTCTGGGCGACAATACCATGTTCAATTCTCTCTGAGGGGGTCATACATCTGCTTCAGAGGTCGGTGAGGAAGAAAGGCTTCACCTTCGTATAGCTTGCGCTGTTGGATGAATATCTCTCTCTGAACGCACTGCAGCTCTTCCTCCCATTCCTGCACCTTTGATTTATCCTCTGCAGTGGATACTGGCTGTGCAAGCTTTTTTTCTATGCCGTCGGAGCGCTGGATGAGTCCCTGCAGAGTCATCTCAGCGACTATGACACTAATGAATATCTCGTGCCAATATTTGAATGTTTGATATCTGATGGTGTAATTATGTCCGCCTTTGCCGTAGTTTTCGACAGGCGTGAAATTACCCTCGAACATTTCTGAAAATGGTATCTTAGTCTTCTGACTAACCTTGGCAAAGATGGAAGACATTGTTGTTTGGTGAGTAAGGAGAGATGAATGTTTGAAATATATTTATAAAGCTGGACTCCGCTGCTTTTTGGGTGTCGGTCAATTTTTGAACCATAAAAAGGGTAATTGTCCCTGAATTGGGATATACCTGCCTAGGGAACTACCTATTTTTCATTTCTTAAAATCCTAGACCACAGCACTCCTAGACTGCATATATTGTTAACCCATTTAACATGGACAGTCACAGTGTGTAAGCATACTTTTAAGTAAAAGCCTTGAGTTTAGATATTATGCGAGCAATCCCCATCACAAGCCCAAGTGGCTCAGTGGTTGCCTTCGTGGTCTAGTTGGTTATGACGTCGGTCTCATATCCCTTCCCTTGTTCGCAAGGTCTATATGACATTCTTGGTAACAAGATTGACATCCGAAGGTCTCCAGTTCGAACCTGGACGAGGGCATTTCTTTTTTCCATTCTCTTTTTTAGTTCAGATATAGTGGATATGTGGGCGCGGGGTCAATTCCTATTGCCGGAGAGATATAAATTATTTAATTTAAAAGAACACCTGTGAACCGAGAGAGAATATAATTAGATTACACATTACCGAACCTCAACATTTTGGTTCTGCCGGTTACCATTCATGCTGTATTTTTGCATTTCCCAAAATGTAAACTCGCTCGCCAGAAATGCGGCCACAGAAAACAACTGAACTTCTTCACAACGTATATAATATTAAAATTGGGGTCATTTAGTGCTTTCATTATCCGGCAACTCGTGGATAGGAGGATTGTTATCTTTGGTAGGTAGCTCTGACACAGGAGCTCCTTCCAACTCTCTTGGTTTGACAGGAGCGTTGTCTAACTCGCTCGGGTTTGACGAGGAATGGACAGTGGGGTTGTGTTGTCTCATGGCAGCTTCAGTGAGGGCTGTCTGCTGATGAGGCGCTTGCTTCTGTGAGCGACGACGCATGAAATACCAAAGCAAAGCAAGAATAATTGCTAACCCAGCAACACCACCCACCACGCCACCGGCAATAGCGCCAGTATTTGGACCAGAATCGCTACTCGATGTTGGAGAGGTACTCGGTGTCGCGGAGCTGCTCGATGTCGGGGAGCTGCTTGCTGTTGCAGAGCTGCTCAATTCTGAGGTGGTCGTTATTGTGGAGCTGGTCGGTATTGAGGAGCTGCTGGATTGTGGGCTCGCAGCTGGTTATATTAGTTCGGAGTTCATGCCGAGCAGGGGTTGAGTCTTACCAGGTGACAATATCGGCAGCGTTGTCGTGTGTGAAAGCGAAGCATGCCCCGGTCCCGCACACCCAACCCCATAATTAGTCCTGTTAAACCCGACTGCATCCTGCTCACAGCAGAAAAATCCACCATCGGCATTTTCGTAAAGATCCCAGGTTTCGTCCGCGCATCGTGGTGGGTTCCTGATTTGGTCGGTACAGTCTTTACTTTCGCTCGGACAACACACGCCTGTATGTTTGTCGGTACAACGTGAGCCGCTGGGGCAACATCGGAAGAACGCCGTTTCAGGTCCACTCCATGCATTGGTCGGACATTCTCCAGCGAGGCAACTGCCATTTCTGCGTATTGCGAATCCGTTCGGGGGCCCCAACGCTAACATGGACATGATTGGAAAGAAACAAAACAAACGAAAGTTGACGAGGACGTGCGCGAGGTATATTAACCGAAGGCAATGAACTTCAACGCTATGAAGATAATGCTTGTGGAGAAAGCAAGTGTTGATTCTCGGAGGGGAAGAAGGGGAAGGGAGAGAAATCTCTAACTAGTTAAAGCAAACCGGATATGTCCCATGTAACTAATTATCTAATGAGCTAGTTTGAACAACAAACATACCAGGTTACCTGATGAAATTCAGGGGTGGGCTGCATTGACACCGCACGGGCATTAATCCTTGTCGGGAAATACGTCTTGAGTCTTGGCATAGATGATCCTAGACTAGCATAATATATTACCTTCTATTGTAGGCTGTCGAGAGTACCATGTCAATTCTTTGAAGATGACCAACTTTGCCTTCACGGATAAACGCTTTCTTGTGAGCAAAGGACGGATATGACTTGGACAAAGCCCTGGGGCCAAGTGGTTTAGGAAATGCTCCACTTTGGCTGGGCATGCTCAGCTTCCCGCAATTTGCGAACCTTGCCAGGAAGCCTTGACAAAAGAAGGCAAAGATCAACTGTTCGACGGGGTAAGGCGGGACGAGGTAACAGCGCTAAGCCGAAAAGAAGCAAGGCCTTGACAAAATCAAAATATTCATCTCCACAATGTATCCTTTCTCATGCCTCCTTATACACCCACGAAGACATCAATAGACATATAAAAAGAAACAAAACCGCATCGGATGGTTCTAGTAGGCGGCGAGGGATGCTCTGGTTGTAGGTTGTCCAATTCATTCTATACTAAGACTTATGAGAAACCCAAGGAGGCTGGTTTGAATGCGCCTCGGGTAGTACAGCCTTGGAATGTGCGAGTAATAATGTTAAGACTACAACATACAGGGATAGTTAAAGCTCGGGGCATATCCGCTAGCCGTTTAGTGGGGTATTGTTGCTGTCTATGATTGGCTTGAATAATCCCGGGATACAAAGTTGGCGGCGCCACAAATCGATGTACCGGAGTATGTTGTATATACTTACGGTTTAGCTATATAGCTACGCTCAAAGGGTTCATCACAATAAATCGACCTATATTAAACGTTGTATCATTACTACGTAGGAGACTTTAGATCAATCTAATATTAGTTCGTTGATTCAAAGCATAGCTCATGGATATCATTCAGGTAAGTAGAGAATAGAAAATGAAGCACTCAAGTAAAGAGGTATCTAAGATGTCGAAATCTATGCTTTATTAGCAGCGGCATTGGCGCATTGCTGGTAAATACCGGTACCTTGGTGCCTACATAGTTGTGGCCTTATGACGTAAATCAAACCGGCAGAAGAATTAAAATATCTAAATAGAATGATATCTGAGAAGGCCACTAAAGCGACTACTGAAAAGACAATTCAAAAGACCAAAAGACATGATAAGGCCGCCTACACTGCCGACTATTCTTGTTAAAGTATGGATTCATGGATTGGGAACTTGCGCGAACGAGGGTAGCTGCCACCGTCGAGCTCCATATCGCTAGGGACTTATAAGACCAAAAGAATGAAGCGTATCATCTCCATACAAATTATACACGGGTTTCCGGACGGCATCAAATGTGATATAGAAGGCGATGGTATACACATTTGGTCTGCGGGAGGGGTGCTTGTTGGAAAGATTCTTGTATTGGGTGGTGTAGCCAACTTGTGCTTTGGATGCCCTGGTGAACTTTTCATTCATAATGGCACCAAGCTTTGGCGCGCGTTATTAGCAGAGACAGTCGAGGGAAGTCAGCTGAAGACAAATACGCTTTCTGCATGAGTGCTATGCTGTGTGATGATGCTTAGTATTTGAGCCCACTTTTTGTTTATTAGCGCACCTCTAGATAATAATGGTCAAATATGTATGCTAGTTATATAGGAATATCTATGGTAATCGGTTAGACCTATCAAAGTTAAAATCTATACAACAGGTAACCTGCGGAGTGTGCACTGTTGGCAAAGTAGTCACTGCCAAGAACTAGTTATGTATGTAAGATGGCCTAATAGGGTAATTCCAACATTATATTTGTATAATGATGGGCGATGGGCCCCTAATTCCAAAACGCCTACGGGCAATGGGCACCTCCTACTGCCCATGAGGGCTTGAGTTTGATTGGGTATATTTCGCTTTTGTGCCTTTTGAGCCTGGGGGAGCTTTAAAATGAACAGATACATATAGGCAAATTTATCTCAGACTATGAATCCAAGAGGACTCAAATATCGCCTTCCTTCTCAAGTTCACATTTAGCGCGAACAAAGCCAAGCAATAGAATCAATGAATCGCCCCAAAATATGACTTACAATCAGAACAGAGAGACAAGCCGCTCTATGAGCTTAGTGACCAGTTCCCGATCAGTAGTGTCCATGGCAGCAATCTCAGCTTGTACCCAGCCATCCGCTTTGACCTTTATCAACTCCCACACATCGTGAGACTCAGCTTCCCTTGTCTCCAAAAATCGACACACCAGAGATGTAGCAATCAAACGCGACCATTTTTCAACCGCAGATAACTCCTTCGTCTCAGTTCCCGCCAGGGAGTCAATGTCGGTTTGCACCTTGACCCGGGCAGTGCTTGGATCAAGGCTCACGACCAGCAACAGTTCATCGCTCATTTCCCAGTAACCTTCAAAATTCTGGAGCTGGATGACCTTATTTAACGGGAGGGTTGATGCTTCGTCTTCCTCTGGCGGCTCAGATGAGTACCATGGGCTTGTAGGTCCATTGTATGTTGGGGAAGTAGGTGAGTAGTTTGGGCTTATAGGAGAACCGTGTGCTGGGGAAGTAGGTGAGTACCGCGGGCTTGTAGGAGAAAAAAATCCTGGGGACGTAGGTGAGTACCCTGGACTTGTAGGAGGACAGTAGCCACTACATGAGCCACCAAGGGGGATAGCTGTAGGACCAGAGGACATAGGGGAGTAACCCGCCGACGTAGCCCCGTAAGGTGTAACTATCTGGGAACTCAATTGCTGCATGCTAGGTCCACGCGGTGTATGGGACCTTTTGGCCTTTTTGCTCTTCGGCTCGAACCCAGCGGTGTCGTTATCGGGATTGAGGAATGTGTCGAAGTCAAAATTTTGCGGGATGTCTGGGCTGCCCATTGCGCTCAAATCCAGGTTGAATGCAGAGGGCTTCAGTAAAGGGTTAGGATATGCTTATGCAAACTACTAACCGGAAGGGAAAGATGACCTACCTTTGGGGCGTTAAATCCTGAAGGTGCGGGCGGTGGCTAGAAGAGAAATTAGTATATGGGAATTCAAGTTACATAGCACGGTCATGGCATACCTGCAGGGCGTCGGATGCAACAATTTCGGGTGAACCCTTGATCAACAAAGTCAGTATAGGTAATTGCAAAAGGGTTCAGTATATGATAAATGGCACAGCAATGCGATCTGTCTAGGGTACTGCTTCGTACATCGGAATAATCCAAGAGCTCGAGCTCGTAAGGGGAAGTGGTGTTTTCATGTTCGCATACCTCGGCATGTTTTGGTTTACCATAATGCTCAGCCGGGGCCTCATCGCTCACCGCGACAAATGAGCAGTGTTTCCCTGCGACCTGGAATCTCACTCCCAGACGCTCGCATTCTGTCTTCACCAGTTCATCAACCCGACTCTCCCATTTTGTCTTAATCAGCTCGCCTTCGGCATTTTTTGCGGAGTATATCCAGCCGCGGGACTCCTCGAGCTCGGTGATCGTCTTTTTGGCCGCGAGCTGATGAACAGTCTGGCCCTTACCAATATCTTGAACGGGAATCTCCAGCTCTAGAAGACCGTGTTTGCTGTTGGCACGAAGGGTGATCGTCTCCGGAAACGAGCCAATGGATTGTGAGAGAAGCAAGTAGATATTGGAGCGTATGAACGGGAACAGAGCCGGAAGGTCGTGTGGCGCTTGCAAAATGCTAGGAACAGCAATTTTCGGCAGTGGCTCACACACATCACCAATTCCTTCCCCTTCTTTATGATCTTGATTGAATAGGGAAATTTTCTTTGGAGAGGGCTCCGTGTCCGTTGTATCATCACCGGGAAGTTCAACCTTTACGAAGTCTTCTTCAACTGAAAAATTGGAAACGTCCACATCAAGTCTGCTGTTGTGCAGTCGAGGCATCAAAGCACCCTTCAGCATTCGAACCACTGTTTTATTCAGGTCCTCATTATTCAGGACCGTCTGGGTAAAGCCCTTTCCCGCTCTGGAGATACCATTAATAAGAGAGTGGGAAACAGAATCCCCCAAGCCGAGAGTGAAGAACCGAGCGGAATGCTCCTGGTTGGCCTTATTGACCAGATCGAAGACCTCAGACTGGTTCCAAACCTCACCATCAGTGAGGACCAACACTTCAAGGACCTTGTCCTGGTAGCGCTGCTCTACAGCTCGTTCGAGGCCGCACATGATTTCAGTTCCACCTAGATCGGCCCGAATCCTCTTGGTATACCGAAGAGCCTCTTCTAGGCTCTCTCTGGTACTCACTTTACTTCGAGCCCAGAGAGCTTCAGATGAGGAGCCAAACGAAATTAAGTTGAAAGGTACACCCAACGGCAACGACTTCAGAAACAGCTCAAGGGCAGAACGTAGAACTCGGGTCTTAGGCATCATACTTCCACTACGATCAATGACGAACACGATTTCAGATGCATCCGGTGGCAGAGTGAACTTTGGTACCAGGGAGACCATTAGTGCCTTCTGATTTGGCAATGTAGGGTGTGTCTCTAGGAAAGCAAATGGGAGATCCTGCTTGTCCGCGTTGACGGTGATAACAAAATCCTTGTCAATTGTCACATTCTCACGAAGTTTGATTGAGGCATAGTTCGACTCGAAGGTTGACTCCGGCATATCAGCTGTCCGGCCCAAGTCCACCTCGATTGGATGGCTTGGTGACCGTATATTGCGGATCTTAGACCCCTTCTCCATGACAACGTCCACCTTTATTGCTGTTTTTTCCAGAAGTCCTTCGGGCGGATGCGGAACCCCAACCCCAGTTCCATACCGAGGGCCGATAGTGGCGGGGATCGTGTATCGAACACCATCTGTCTTGGCATCCTGAATCAGTTCTTGGATGAGAGTAATCTCGACGAGAACGGTACCCCCAGCTGGGACATTTCCTAGGCGTGTGCTGAAGACATCGGCGGCACTAACCGACCGATCGAGAATAGCAGCGGTTTTTCCCTTAGACTTTGCTTCTTCATATATCTCATTTGCCTTTTCTTTTGGCTTGACTATTCCTTCAATCACCGTATCACCCAGGTGGCAAGTGAAGCCGACGATACTGGAGCTTTCATACAGGGGGAACGAGTAGAAGACTTCGGAGATTGCTTCTGTAGAAGAAGGGTTCACAAAGGTCTGTGTGATTACTGTTCGTGAATTGCTGGAGAGAATAGTTGCACGCGCGTCAAGGCCAACCTGAGGCAGGTATTGGAGCGCTGACGCATTTGCGGCCAATCGGTAAAAACAGCCGTGTGCCATGACGCAGATAGTTGTAAAAGGGAAAAGGAAAACGGGGAGGTGCGGGATACTTATATTGATGGAATTGTGAACATGACAAACATGCGCTAGGCTGCAGCTGCAGGTGGATGCAGTCACCTGTTGACCTCTCAGGGCTGACTTGTGGGCTTGCGGCTCAAGTAGTTCCGAATCAACACGACATGTTCGATTTCTCACTTGAAATCACCTGCTCCGTACACATTATCCATGGATGTGGCTCTGGTATGGTCGGCTTGACATACCACATCATGACTGCACAAAAAGGGACGATGCCAGAAGCCTTCCAGAAGTTGGAAAAGATGAGTTCATTTTGGCCCCCAATTTTCCGGTGGACCAACTGGCGGGTTGGACTCCACTTGGAGGGGTTGGGCGTTCTCGAGTTTCCCCTTTTGTATCGTTAGAAGCCAGATTTATAAGGCACTATATCCTAATTGGGACTGCTGTTTTTGTTTCTATATTGTTGTAGGTCAAGTCTACTATATTTCATTCATTTTAATTATCAAAATCTTTCCCATTACAATAATCCCAGTTTATTAAATTAATTTTAAAGCGAGATATAGCAATATAGGACAGGTTACCAAATGCACCGCTGTTTCTTGAGCGTACTCTAGGACACCTATAGTGACCCTTTTCTCCTTCAAAGGAATTTAGGTGAATAAGGCGGAAAAAGGCTTAATTTGTGCAAATGATTTTTTATGAATAACCCTTGATTTAACATATATGACATGCTCCACCCAAAAAGTACCAAATCGATCGTCTTCTCACATGTTAACCCCAAATACTCCGTACAGGCACATATATTGTCATTAACATAGAGATCCTACACCACAGAGAGTAGCCATTGAGGAAACATTAATTTGAAGGACCAATAATTCGATGCACTGCCTGCACCTCTGGGGACAAGCCTTTCAAAGCCGAAGCGAGCTCATCAGCAGCTTGAACCAGAACATCGTCCGTGAGCGGCTCTAGTGCATCTAGAATGAATAAAACACGCGAGGTATCGTCCGTCAAAGCAGTCCGTGGGCCCTGTCGCCAATTCCAGCGACGGCAAGTGATACCGCTGTCATCACGCCAAACTGGCTCCCCGGGCGCTGCAAGTTCCGTTTGGGGCTTCCCGCCAGAAAAGGTTTCGAACTCCTCATCACCAGTGGCACGGACCAGGACAGGGGATCCAACGTATTTGTCAAGGTCCTCACCCCCGAATGGGATCTGATATTTCACGGAGATGGCATTGTAGATGTCGGTCAGCCGGTTGACTCGTGGCAAGCCGTCCTGGGCGCGTCGAGTCAGAGCCTCAAGGCTGTTCCGTGTTTTTTGAGGCTTAGCTCCGAAGGCTTTGTAGGCCTCGCGCCATGCAGCGATGTGTGGAAGTTCGGTAACGGGACAATTGGATAACTTGTCCTTGACAGAATTTTCAGCCTCTTTCAAAAGGGCCTCGCTGAAATCATCGCTTGGGCCGGTAGGAATACCCTCTACCACCATTAGGAGGGCGCGATAATCCGGGCGCAACTGGAATATTTCGGGAGCTACATGCGCATTCTGCAGTAACTTTTGTGCCTCTTGTGTCCTGGTCATGATTGAGAATGAATGAAGTGAAGGTACTGGAGATGTGGATAATTGTTGTAAGCTGGGTGTAAGACGACGTAGGTGGGACAGCATGTGATAATTTCGAGATCTGTACATATAAAAGAAGTGGAGGATAGCCTCATTAATATAGTAAATTGGGGCAGGCCCGAAGGCGAACCAACTTGATAAAATTTTCGTTGAGTCACTACGCTTTTAATAACATATATTTTGGATAGACAGTGATTTGGTGGATTGTCACTGCCCCTCTCCCTCCAAGTTCCTAAGGCGGGAAATAGTGGATATATTGTTGTTATTTCTAATGTTCCTTCAGGGCTATTGTGGCAATAATCACTTCCGAAAAGGGTAGTTGACGGGAGTGGAGTCGATTTAGGGGATATCCGGGTGTCTGATTGGCTGGTTCTATGGATCTAATGAAAATACTCTAATTCTGCCCCACCAGTCTTTCCAAGGTTGCTTCGAGTACAAAGGAACCTTGGAAGCCTTCAGAATTATCTGTGTTTGGCATTTTGTGATGAAATTTGTGATGCACCATTTCTACAGTTGTATTTTATGTTGATAACTCCCAGATCGTTTCAACATGCTCTCTCGTAGGAAGAAGCGCTCATTCATTCAATTACCACATCATTAAAACTGCTTATTTTGTAACATTAGTTCGAAGACCCCCCTGTTCCTACTTCGCGCACTGGTAGGCTACAACAGTTGCGAAGCCCAAATGAGTTGATGAAACACCCAGTCACCTTGTGTCATCTACTGCGGTCTGTCCGGGTAAGCATCGTATAGCCCATCAGAAAAGCGGATGTTGCTGTAAGATGCTGTACCCTGTCCATTCTGGAAGAAGCGAATCTCAGTCGAGTTTGCATACCAAGGGCTAGCATGAAGTTAGTTTAAATTCTGTAAAAAGTAACAGGAGAAGGATAGGGAAAACATACCGGACCCAGGTAGACAGTACAAAGCGAGAGTTGGCATAAACCTCCAGGACAGAGTTGTCAACCACGATGGTGAGGTTGAGAGTCTCAATGTGCTGCCTGCCAACTCCATTGGGTGGAGAAGGGAAGCCAAATGAAGAAAAGTCAAAGGGCCTGCCCTTGTGACCTCCCCAGTGACCACCGTTGTGTCCACCATTGGCACCATTGTCACCGTTCGCACCACAGTTCTCGTTAATGTCAAACAAACGAATGCGTCCAGATTCTGGTGAAGCATCAATACCGCTGGTTGTATCTGCAGCGGCACTCGTTTGAGAACGATCAATCATGATGGACTCATTAGAGAACTGATAATAGATGTTGGTTGACTCGAGATCAGATGCCAGAATTTGGAAACCGGCCTGAAGGCCAGACGCACGTGTATCGAAGTCAATCTCAGCTTCGAGAATAAAGAACCTGCTGTTTGGGGAGCGACGGAATGGAATGACACCTTCGCTTGTAGTAGTGCGGTCTGGCTCGGTGAAACGACGGGTAGCAGTCATAGCAGCGTAGGTCTCCCGTGCAATGTCAATTCCGAGGGTTTCAAGTTCAACGCAGTTGCCCCTCGAGTTCGAGTTGGCGGCCACACGCCATGAGCCAGTCTCCTGTACGAGAGCGTTGTTCACCACGTTAGGGATGGCTTTGATGTATAACTCGCGCGCCGTCAACAAGGTGTTTTGCCATCCTTGCTGCGCAGCTGGGAAGCCAACAACTCCACCGAAAACATCACCAGTCAACCAGACATAGCTAATGAAACGATCCGGTGCGCCGCTAGCGGTAGAAGCTTGGGAAGACCTGGGTAGGACTTTTCCAGCTGCAGCATAGGATGCCAAGCCCCAGTCAAAGACACCAACCATCTCAGGAGCGAATGTCACGTTTTCACCTCTAGGGGTTGAAATTGATCCTGCTGTCCAAATCATGGCATGTTGCGAGGAGACTGACTCCTGAATAGGAGCATAAGAACTTTCCACCGCAATGGTCATGAAAGGTTCGCCATTGTAGCTGTACCCTTCTCTGGTGAGGCCGAAGACGTTGCTAGTCTCGAAATTGTAGCCAAAGACCCTAGACCAGTCACCATTTCCCCATGTCGAATTGGCAGGCTCATGGTACCATTCTCCAAGGTACTCCCACTGCTCAAAGTTGGGACTGGTGTTCTGGTAGAGGAACATGCCCGGTCCAACATTTCGAACACCGCCTGAAATGATAGTGTACCAAACACCTGCTGGATTTCCAAGGGACCGATCGAGTTCCGCATTTTGGAAAACGTAGGGGTCACGGAAGGCCGTTACATCCAGACCCACAGGGGGCTCAGGAATCACAGGCGGAATTTGCAGCTTGGTGAAATTCTTGCCTCCATCGTAAGTGACGGCCAGAGACTGCGATTCACTTCCTCGAGTGTAAGGAAGCGTCCAATGGATTGGCAATGAGGATACCGAGGTGTATAAAAGGGTCGGTTTGCCGTCAACTCCACTAGGGATAACGGAGCCATCAAAAACGGCAAGGGGGTCATTGGGACCACCAGCGACGATTGAATAGTTGCCGTTAGGATTAACATCGTAATAATGAACAAGATCGTCCGTCAGAACTTGTGCAATACCGGTACCATTGTGGAGGAACCCGACATGGAAGAGCCCTGTTTCGGGATCATTGTAGTGCGCACATGGGTCTCCGATCTGGCCATGGGGCGGGAGAACGTGGGTATGTGGCCTCCAAGTCTCAAACAAAGACAGTTCGGGAAGATCCGCGAGATTTGGGGGTGGGGCATTGTAGTCTTGAGCAGAGACTCCCGCCCAGATCGTCGCCAAAACTGATGTTGTCGTTGTGACCTTCATGATGAGGAAGGTTGGGTAAATGACCACAAGGAATGGCTCAGTTGACAACCAAGAACTGATCTTTGTACTCTATATACTCTATAAAGGCGGAAATATTTTCCCTTATAAATGTGTAGTACTTCCTACAAACAATTAACATTCTAACCCCTAGAAGATTGCATTATAGGGTACTGCACCCCTGAGGAATTTAATGCCAGTGAGGGAGGAACCATAATAGTCTATTGTAGGGGGGAGTGGGCATGGAATGCAACTCAACTCTATAACGCCTTCATTCCTCAGAGACTTGACACGAGTCAGTAAAATCGCAAAACAAAAACAATCATACTTAAATTCAACGGCTTCATTAGTAAACGCAAAAGTAATACTATTTACATTTATAATTCCAAACCCTATGTATATTTGCATCTTTCTAGGGGGGGGGGTTAAATCATACTACTTTTTGGGTTATTAGGAATGGGTTACCTAACATTGATTGCAACTGTAGATCATTCGCAGATCATATTGGAACATCTCTCAGGATTGTGAGATGCAATAAATCGATTTATTTCCGTGATTCTGTCAACTAGAGCCCCTTTCACCACATGGAACAATGAATTTAGCGGCAAGCCATTATGGTGGAAGATCAGATAAGCCATCCGCAAAATCCCCACTAGCCCAAATATTTAGTCAAGGCCATTATATTCACGTCGGATGATATCTCTAGCGAAATGAAAGAGGCATTGCGTGTTGTTAAAGGCGATCATATCAGTTTCTTCTCTTGGAAGGCTACATTGCACATATTATGGTAATAGAAGGAGTGTACCAATTGCATTCCCAAACTCAACCAATTATTAAGTGACCGTGAACACGAGGAAGGGAGCAGGAAAGAGGAGTAAGTAGCAATTTAGAATACCAAGAAAAGGATCAATATCACAAATTGTAAGCAGTCTGAGCCAAACGTGCTTCACAACAGATACAACCAATAAAATCCGGCAAATTGAACGCGAATTTAGAATTGAGAGCCAAGTTAAACCTGGTGAAGGGGATACAAGGAGAAACCCGTTACCTCGTCAATAATTGCACGCATCTTTCTCCCAAGCGCTCCCAACTCGATTTCTAGCGGGCAAAAGAACCCAGCTCCACAGTGGTGTTTCAGAACTTGCTTGACATTAGATATGTGCGAGGCAGAGTCTTCGGCCGGCCTCATCTGCAATATTGTTGGAAGTGGCCAAACTCGGAGCTTCCGCAAAGCCACGAAGTATTCCGCTACTCTATGGTCGCTGGTGCAATACTTGCGAGACAGATTAGCATTCTTGCAAGGATGGCACTTCTTTGCTTCAATTGGAAGTGTTCTTCCACAGCCCAAACAGACCAACGCTTGCATAGTATAGCATGTCTGGACAGTCCTCAGAGACAGTTCAACAGACTGAAGCTTGCAGAGCATACTGTGGATTATGTTATATTTTCCATCAAGTCGTCTACTAAGTATTAGATAATATTTCGTGACTTCTTCAAAAGGAAAGCTCACATTTTAAGGAGTCGGGAATCCTGTCCAAAATTTGAACACCATCCCAGTAGTAATGAAAATTAAGGTTTAGATGCACCTGGGCCTTTGAAGTGAGTCTCGAGAAGTGCTCCTCGCTGCGGAAGAGATGGGCAGCAAGAATCAAATGACCATATTTTTCCATTAACCTAGTAGGCGGAAAATTCTGAAACCAATTCAACACCCACGGGTTGAGTGCCTTCACGCAGTCATACTTGTCACAATGGACGGCAAGGTTAGCAAGCCATTCAGCATCTGTGTTAGGTACATCCTGTGGCTCCTGATAATGGAGTATAGCAAGTAGTGCACCAGTTACCGCCGGGTCATCGTCGTGCAAAGGCACCTCGGGGCAAGTACAAGCCGCCACTTGCGTTCCTTCGTAGAAATTTGGCCCGAATAATTTTGCAAATACCGGGGAGGCGAGACTGAGGACCTTCGATGACACAAGAAAGCGTCTTGTATCAGCCGGAGATTGACCCTTGGCAACAATGATAAGGTTCCCATCTGGGTCAAGTCGTTCAATGTCGGAACCTAGTTGGATTTCTTCCGCTTCTTCGTTGGGCATTTGGGCCCCTTGTTTCAGAGATTTAGTATTAGTAAGGGGGGATGAATGAATATGGAGGTATCTTTATGATATGTGATGGACGTACTATGCGTCTAAGAAGCAAGAACTGATCAAGAATGCGATGGCAATTGTTGTGGATAATGACACACACACACAGAGAGAGAGAGAGAGATGATGAAGGAAGAAGTTCTTATAAAATCTATGGAGTACCAGGGTATTTTTACCCTCTAAATGTAGCAAACAACAGGGAGGTGATTGTCCAACAGCTGTGATTGTGAGCTACCTATTGAACGACCATAAGAACAACGTATCAGGTGCATAAAAGGTAGAAAACCAGCACTGTGTCTGCTCATCTCTAACTTGTGCTCGGTTCATAGTGAATGAATGCTATAAGAAAAGTGTATTTCTTATTATTATAGGAAATGCCTCTGCATTTGCATAACAGTAGAGGGAAACCTAACTAAATAGGGAAAACCTCAACCAAGACATGATAATATCATAGATCAAACATCAGCGTCCAGATCCGCATCCCCACCCGCTGCAAATTCTATGATAGCAGCCAGAGGATTATGATATTCGGATGTATTCCCAACTTGATTTCCACCTTCTTTCCTCGCTATCGCAAGTGTTGCAAAGATGATAGAGAGGATAGCGAAGAACTTCATGTTGAGATGGATGTTTGCTTTCACGAAAGCGATGAATAGTAATAAAAGTTTTCAAATATGAGAATATGAGCGCTTATTATTAGCGACATGCTAGCTTACATATTGGGAACTCCCCTTCCGGGTTGATGCTTTCAGATCTTCCTAAGGGGACCCTGAAATGGCCCCGTGCCCAGATCGACTCCAGAGGCTGACTAAGCGGTTCTGGGCGCCGCGGGGGAGATAAAAAAAAAAGCGATAACATTCCCCACAGTATATCGGTCCCTCATTTTACGAATTGAAGTCTTGTTTTGTGCTTTTTATGACATTTGACCTGGCATGACGAGCCGAAACCCTCTTCCACTCTCAGATGAGTGGAAGGATCCCGACGAATATGTCAAGGCCCTCCTCTCCTTCGCAACTGAATCAGTCATGTTCATGAACGTTTGCGGTGGCGTACATATCCTCGATTTCTTGACGCGCGATCCCGATCTGTACACGTCATTACTGCCGGAAGACTGGCGATCATTCTTTGACCATCACGATATCCACAGCATCTTGGAACTACTACTACGAGAAGACATTGGCCCGCTGCGCGAACCCGAAACAAACGCAGCCTCTGAGAATGGCAGGACTTGGAACGGAGGCGCATTTCCACCTGCATCCCTCCTCGAGTATATTCACAATATTCGACGACTGAGCTTTCGTCGCGAGTTCAACCCATCTGAGCAGAGCGAACCTCTCCCGAGACATATTGCTGTCGGCATGAACAAGAAGAAGAAGCACGAGGTGGAGCAATTCTCTCGCTATGTCGCGTCCTTGTCGGAGACGGTCAATGAGCGTCGCGGTGAGCCATTGTCTCACATTGTTGATTTCGGATCGGGACAAAACTACCTGGGGCGCATGCTGGCAAGCTCGCCGTATCATAAGCATATCATTGCTATTGAGCGAAAGCACCAATACATAAGCGGTGCTAACCGTATGGATGTCCAGGCCCGACTGGTCACGGAAGAAAAGAAAAAGACAATACATAATGCAAAGCTAAACAAGTTGAAAAAGCAATGCATCGATTGCACCGACACCCCAGAACTAACCCCAAGCCCGACCACTTTGGAAAAGCCCGGAGCTCCTGACACCGGTACGGGAGCACCACCGGAACTGAATGATGTAGTGTCAGAAGAGCCTGCTGCGCAGGATGAAGATGCCGCAACCTCTCTCATGCTAGGCGAGATGACTCTAGAAGCCGATGATGTGCTCGGCTCAATGTACAAAAAGCCAAACACAAAGCCACACGTACCGAAGCCACGACCTGAGATCGATGCCAGAGGTACTGTCAGCTACATTGAACATAATATCCAAGATGGCTACCTGGAACCGATTATCGAGCACGTCGTCGACCCAAAGGTAGCAGTTGAAACCCGGACCAGCACAGAAGAGGTCGTCGTCCAACCTGAAGGAAAGGAACCAAGTGACGCCCGGGTGATGGTTGTCTCTCTGCATTCATGCGGAAACCTCGTCCACCACGGAGTCAGGTCACTAGTGCTCAACCCCTCTGTTGTAGCAATCGCCATGATCGGCTGCTGCTACAACCTTCTAACAGAACGACTGGGACCAGCAACATACAAAATCCCCATCCTTCGATCCGCCCATCCCCGCCTCAAGCGAACCGGATCTTCATGGGATCCGCACGGTTTCCCGATGTCCAAGCTCTATGAAACCTACCAAGCAGCGACTACAACAGGCTTCAAGCTCAACATCACAGCCCGCTCAATGGCCGTCCAAGCACCCCACAACTGGGGCCGCGCCGATAGCGAGGGATTTTTCACGCGCCATTTCTACCGCGCTTTACTACAGCGTGTTCTTCTAGATCGTGGCATTATCCCTAAACCTGACGTCCCCGATGATCTCTACAAAGACAACACAGATGACCCCGAGGCTGGCGGTATAGCGCTGATTGTGGGCTCCCTGCGCAAGTCCGCATTCGAGTCTTTCTCGGCGTACGTGCGTGCCGCAACGGTCAAATTGAGCCAAGATCCGACCCGTGGCGAGTTGGTCAAGGAGCGCGTCTGTACGATGTCCGAAGAGGAGTTGCAGCGCTACGAAGCTGATTACTTGCACACGCGCAAGAATCTTAGCATTGTGTGGAGTTTGATGGCGTTCAGTTCTCAAGTTGTTGAGGCTGCTATTGTGGTTGATCGCTGGCAGTTCTTGCGCGAGCATGACTCCGTCAAGGAGTGTTGGGTTGAGCCGGTCTTTGAGTATGGCCAGAGCCCGCGCAATCTGGCTATTATCGGGATCAAGAAATGATTTTCGTTATCGTTTGCTTTCAGTTGCATTTAGATAGTGGTGGGGAGTTTGTGCTTTGGGGCTTGAGGCATCTAGGTTCTAGGAGTCTCAGTACATAGCTGGTGGTTTACATTTGAACATAGACGCATAGAACCTGGGGTTCGCGGACATATCCGCTGAGCTGTGGAGAGGCCACTATAATGATTTTTAGATACCTGCTTGGGTGGTTATGACATAGTATACATGGTTGTAACCTGCGCTCTACTGCATATATGCATTTCAAACCCTGAGACGCGCTGACGTCGAAGCTTAATAAAGAAACATTTACCTCGGTACTTGCCCTCAGCCTTAAGCTCCTAAAGCGAGGATAAATCATACTATCTGGGTACACATACACACAGAGTTTTCAATGGAATGTCACTAGATTTGCAAGACAATTTCGTACAAATACCATTATCTTCTCTTCGCTATCACCCAAGCATTCTGTTCCTATACCGTCTAGGTCATCACAACATAAGACATAAAGTATGTATCAAAAGGCAGTCCAATTTGTTCCACAAGCTGCTGCAACTTCTCGCGCCGGTCTACCAATCATGCCCTTCCAGAACTCGGAAGTACCAGAAGGAACGAGCTCTTCAATCTCCAAAGACAGCAAAGCATCAAAAGTCCAGTCCTGACACCGGCCAATGGAATCTCTCGGGGCAGGCTCCTTCTCGATAACCTTGATCGCGTCGTGTCGTTGTTGAGACGTGAGATCGGCGATCTTGCACATCCCCACAGCCGCCTTATCGATGATCTTCGTCGCGTACCGAGGCGCGAACCCGTACCATAGCCTGTCGGAATCGATGACCTCGACTTGAAGGAGGTCGCCGAATTCCAGATTCCCGGGTTTGTTGATCATGAAACCCCAATGCGATCGGTGTGTGGGGCTGTCGCCAGGTCCGAACACTTCTATTGAGAGGTTGTAGGCCATGTTCTATGCGGTTAGTCTGAGTTGATTTCATGTATGCATATGGCTTACCTTTTCATGTAATTTTGGTAGTGTATGCAGGATTTCCCCAGGTGATAATTGCGAGACGTGGTCTCATAGCTTGGTTTAGGCAATGAGCCTATACCAAATAGTATTAAGATCAGATGACTTGGATGGGATCGAAATTGACGAATGCGAGAAGCCGACCAATTGTGCGTTGTCGATAGGCGCCATAGCCCCTCTTTGACGGTTCGATTATGCCACTAGTTGAACTACAGAACATGTATCACATATTCTGTCAAAATATTGACAGATCTCATAATAGATTTGTTTATTTACCACAATCGAGGTCATCCAGTTTATTTTTCAACGTGCCAGACCAATTGAGTCCTGCAACTCACACCTCATGTCTCCCATATATCCAATACAGCATATCCATATCGTTAACTAGCATTCAATTTTATACACGTAATGTCATATGTTCAACTAATCTCCACACTCCCCTCAGGCACACCCTGCCTACTCCTTAACCTGCGCGCAAAGAACTGCATAACAGGCAACATCTCCTCCCGACTCGACGGCATCCCATCCCCCTTCCTAGCATAACGGCTCACCTCAACGAACTCAAAAACCTGTTTCGTCCTACGCACCGCCTCATCCGAAACCGCCACCGAATCCCTCCCAGCAACCAGCAACACCGGCGACCGATTCTTATCACCAGCCCTAGACCCAGATAACGGATACGGCGCACCAATAGAAATAACCCCAGAGAGAGTACCGACCTCACCGTTACCATTACCCTTCAACCCCAACTCCCGCGCAACAGCAAGCGCAGCCATCCCGCCCTGCCCGAAACCAAGCATCATAATCTCGCGCAGCGCATACCCGCATTTCTGCACGAGCGTCTCGCGCACGACTGACACGAGTGTTTTGGTGCTGCGCGTCAGGCCGGCGTCCATGTCTAGTGCGCCTGTTGCGGAGTCGAAGGAGACATCGTCGCCCCAGTGGAAGCCGCCTAGGTCGAAAGGGAGTGGGGCTGTGCCTTGGATTGTGACGATGATTGTTTCGGGGAGGCGGATGGCTTCGGCGAATTTTGTGAATGACGCGGCTGTGTCGCCGAGGCCGTGGAGTAGGAGGAGGATGTTTGGGGCTGGGGTTGTGGATTGGGAGGGGGAGGGCGGTGGTGTGACGGTGACGGTGAGGTCGGAGGGGAAGTCGGATGGGGTGGGGGTTTTGGTGGGCATTTTGAGTTGAGTTTAGTTGAGACAAGCTGAGTTGAGTTTCAAGGTTGGAGCTTGAGCTCGGGGAATCGCGAGTGTGGCTGAGTTCCGCTAAAGTGTGGCTTAGACATCAGCTCCAGCCTCGGCAGGTTGTTAGTAGGTGAGTACTCCCGAAGTCCTGTACAATGTATAATGCCAATACTCAATGTCAGTACTCCGTACTATAATGTTCAAGGAGAACTTCGTACTCCGTAATGATCTCACATTAATTGGGAGACGAATCCACTTTCGGATAGTGGATTGTCGTAGTATCGTGGTAGCCTGGTGCTGATCAAGATGCATATGGATACCTCGGGATGTTCATCATGTTAAGGAGAAACATTGAAGATCCCTTAGCCATTGCCTTCGAGTTGTGCTTTACCACAGAGTGTGGAGTAGTGTAATTGCTCTGACACATATGGCGTTGCAGGCATGCCACTGTGCAATATATATATATATTCGCAGTAAACAGTATTTGCTTTTTTCCTCTTTTCAGTCTTATATATCTCTACAATATACAAATATCCCAGATTCACCCAGGTAATCATATGCTGATATTATGTATCAGGCCCATGTGCAATTAAAGAGTCGATGTGTTATTTTAGTCCAAGTGTGCTCGGCATCATGTTCTAGTACGTAATTGGTTTGACTCGTTTAAGGTGAACCGTATTGTAATGACATTTTTGAGTTTTTATAAATAGAACCTCTGAAATACCCTCAACAAACATTGGAGTCACTGCTCATCAGGAGGCGATTCAAGCAATACATTCCATATACACCGCCACTTTCTCGTGGCTAGTGTTGCCGAGACTCATAGGGCTACAATAAGCCTTGGAGGGGAAGCTTGGCCTCGCTCAACCGGGAGTTTTCGTGTCTTGGCCTCCGACAAATTAGTCTTTAACTTCCTAACTGCGTAATGAGTACCGTATAATGGGCCTGCAATGGAGTCAGCATCGTCCGTGTCCTCTCTTTATTCGTCAATGCATAGTGGGGTAGGGCTGAGACAATCCGTTCGGGTCCGTCAGATCGACGCATTATTGGGCATCGGTGGGAACTCGTAACGCCGAGAAGGTAGAAGTTGTACTGTACAACTACAACATACGTTCAACATGCTGGAAAGCACCTCGCGTATAGCAGGATTGGTAGTACAACATACATGATACATAGTGTAACAAGATGCCAATTATGCGGTATTGTGTTGGACGGTTGGATATATATGCGCAAAATTTCGAAGGGCAACCCCTGGACCAAATCACAGCGCTGGTGACCAAAAGCGGTTCAGCTGGGCCCCGGTAAAAGCTAAAATGACTCCTGACGGAATTTGTTATAGAAAGTCCTCCGTGTCTATCACTGGCCAATGGAGTGGTACACTAGCAACGTGGTGGTGCCGGTAATTTCACAGCTCCCAATGAAGTTGCTTCCTCGTTGCCCGAGATATCCGACAACAACTACAATGTACGAAGTAAGCATTTGACGCCTTCACTTGCCACGTGCCAATACCCCTGCAGTAATGTCTGATTCGTGCTAGAGGGAAGTATTTACTGCATCATCTGACATATCTCCATCATACAATGCACTCACCCTGTAGAACCGGCCAGCCACTATTCTCTCAGATTGGATGGTGGGGCGTCTCGAGCTGAGACAGAGGGGAGAAAGCTACTCCCGAATCTTAGTACGACGTACTCCGTAGTGTACGTAGCCCTTCTGGAGTATTCCAAAGTCTCGCGCTTGTTGTGTCGGCATAAGAACCCCCCGTCCCCCCTCACTACTACCTTGCACACTTCGTTTTCTCCGTGCTATATAACCCTTCTCTCATTTTTCTCCTTATTATATATACACATTCACAATGGCTTGGGGCTGGGGTAAGTCAAGTTTCTTGCAGAGTAGAGATGAACCTAGACCTTTACCTTCTTGCATGCACCAGGGCCCGACCCGACCTGCATAGCGGGCAATGTCCCAACACCACTCCATTGGCTATAAAGCAAAAGCCATGCTGACGCCAAGCCAGATGAATCCGAGAAGGCGCACCGGGAGGTGTACAATGGTGAACAGCACCACGAGGGCAAGTTCTCTCACGAGTTCGCTGCCGGTGCTGCTTCCTTTGCCGCTATGAAGGCCTACGAGGACCACGAGCGCAAGGAGGGTACGTGAAATATTGCATTATATCCCCAATTGATATGTCCACGAACAATCTTCTAACTTGGATTTGAACAAACAGGCAAACCAGTCAGCCACGCCTTTGCCAAGGAGCTTATCGCCGGAATCGTCGGCGGCGAGGTCGACAAGCTCGCCGAGACCAAGGGAATGGATTGGTTTGATCGTGAGAAGGCTCACCGTCACGCCAAGCAGAATGCTGAGCATATGTACGAGGAGCGTTACGAACGTGGCAACTATTAGGTCACTCGTCTCGTCTCTAAGAAGGACATGGTCCGAATGGATGAAGATGAAACCTGTTTTACGAACACCATGTGATCATATGTAGTAAGCATGATGTGATGTATCGATCAAATTGATTAGCTTATTCTCGTACCTGGGAAGAGGGGTGAATAAGTCATCGAATAGAATCCATGATAGATATCGATCTCGACACTGTACGGGGTACGATGCACGAGCTTGCATGGCATAATTTCGACCACGTACGAAGCCCTACGTGACCTACACCTAAGGCACTATGCGACAGAAAATATGCGCCAAGCTTTAACAGGGATGCCGGGACTTTTTTTAGGCCAGTAATCACCATGAGAACCCACCGGCCGCATTCCGGCCGCATTCCAATACCGTCGTAGGTTAGATAAGAGACCAGTCGCTGAGTCAATCGGCGATGTACTGCGTCTTTTTGAGATGTTTGCTTTTTTTTCATGTATAGAAATTGATCTCGAGACCACTGCAAGGCTGAACATTAGATATGTGTTTGGAGGAAGAAATGAGGATATCTCCGATTCTTAGATTCCCCTCACTTTAGTAGGAATCTGGCCTTGTGGGTCAGATCCAATTTTAGCCAATCAAAGTGCAATGATGACCGATAGTGGGTTGGTGGCCTGATAATCAAGGCGACCAGAGTTGATGAGCTCATACACGTGCTAAAAGTATAGGGTCAGCTAAAGAGTTTGCGGCGTTGCAGTTTCTCTGGGAGATTCTCGAGTTTTATATATCGGTTCGGAATTTCTATTTATTTTTTTTTTCTTTAGAATTCTTCTTTTCAACACCGGTTGACCTTCCTTATATCTTATAACGGGTCTTGGGCTTTGAATTAATTTTGCTCAAGCTTTTCGCCTCTCACTTGTGTACCGAAGCCCGCACTTCCAGGCCAAAAACCGTATGAAATGACGGTGGTTCATGGTTCAGGATGAAATTTGCCAAGTTTGTATCCCCTGTGACAGTGATAAGTGTGCGACATTCCAGTGGCTGACTCAATCCGTAGAGAGCTGGAACAGGAACTTGTTCCTGAATGGCGGGCAAAATATCTCGACTACAAGGTAGGTCGCTGTCGCCACGTTTATTGTGTTACAATTGTGCTTACATGGATGTATGTAGATTGGCAAAAAGAAAGTCAAGGCGATCACTCGGGCCCTCCAGAAGGCACACCGCAGTCCCCATGTCTCGTCCAATCGGCATCCCACAACCACCCCGCAAATTCGCAGCGCATCCTATCCTGTTCTCACACCCTCCAATACCGATAAACAGCTTGATGCGGCAGCAGACTATGTTCCCTCGACCCCACAGCGAGGTGTCACCAACTCGCCCACCATAATACGCACCACGCCGGTGCCCAGAACCGAGCGACAACCGCTTCGCACGCCTGGCTCGCGGTTCTCTGAAAATGTTGGTAGTTATGGAAGCATACTGGCAACGCCACCACCACAACCTCATGCTGCAGGTTCGGACGTAGCTTCCTTTGAACTTCCGGACCCGGCACTTGACCCAGATGAGGACTATCGGTCACACGAGGAAACTACAGACCGGCCCAGCCACCTCCGGACGCCTTCACCGGTCATGGATCGCCGTGGCATTGTGAACGGCTCTCCCTCCCATCCTATATCAGAACCTTTGCCGACACAGAGGCCTCAATTGGACCAACGCGCGAGCTATCAAAGTCAGATGGGTGACGCCTTGACAAAGGTAACGTCAGGCAACCGGACATCGCAGCTTCTACGGCGGGTGTTCACAGCGGAGGGAGAGCCTGGCGCGAAACGATCACAATATGATTCTGGCGCTGGCGCCGAGCTTGACAAACGCCAGGACGAGTTCTTCGAGTTCCTGGATAGCGAGTTAAACAAGATCGATTCGTTTTACGTGATGAAAGAACAAGAAGCTACTGAGAAGTTGCGGGTCCTTCGCCAGCAATTACATATAATGCGAGACCAACGTATCCAAGAGGTTTTGGCTGCTAAGAGAGCCGTCAAAACTGATAACTCGGAGGCACAGCAACGGCAAAATGGGTTCGCAAAAATCAAGAATGCTCGAATCAAGGATACATTCGCCGGAAAGAATCGTTTCGGTAAGAACACGGAAGCGCTAGCTCAGATGGCGACCCCTGGCATGCATCCACAAGATCGGGAATTCATCGCCGGCCGGAGGGACTTTATGCGGCGGCAGGATCCACAAAGTCACGAAGTGCCCTATCGCTCCGCTAAGCGCAAGCTTAAGCATGCATTGCAGGAGTTCTATCGCGGAGTGGAACTTCTCAAGGGATATGCTTATTTGAATCGAACGGCTTTCCGGAAGATCAACAAGAAATATGATAAAGCGGTTAACGCCCGCCCTCCGCTCCGCTATATGTCTGAAAAGGTCAACAAAGCGGCCTTTGTACAGAGTGAAGTGATCGAGAGCTTGATGGTAGCGGTCGAAGACTTATATTCCCGTTACTTTGAGCGCGGTAATCGCAAAATCGCCATCTCCAAGCTCCGTCACACAATCAACAAATCTGATGACTACTCACCACACACATTCCGCTCGGGCCTTTTGTTGATGGGTGGAACTCTGTTTTCCATAAAGGCCTTGGTTGATGCTACGGCAATTCTCCGCTCGGGTGAGGTCGATGAACAAGTTCAGACCAGTTATCTCCTCCAGGTACGTTTTTCTTCCTCCCATCTGTTGGGCAACCTCATTAACCAATCGAAGATATATGGCGGGTATTTCCTCATCGTGTTCCATGTCTTGCTCTTTTGTCTGGATTGTATGATCTGGACAAAGTCAAAGATCAACCATGCCTTTGTTTTCGAATATGACACTAGACACACCTTGGAGTGGCGTCAGTTGCTGGAGGTATGTCCTGTTTCGCGTGGTAGCTAGCTTTGATGATTCATTCTGACAAGTACAGATCCCTGCTTTCTTCCTTTTCTTGATGGGTCTATTCATGTGGCTCAACTTTTCATGGTATAACCACATGTATATCTACTGGCCTGTCGTCCTTATTGGGTTGACAATCATTATAATTTTCTTGCCGGCCCGTGTTCTTTACCACAGGAGCCGTAAGTGGTTTGCCTTTTCGAATGTGAGTGGATATACCATCATACTACTACCCGTTTATCATATCTAACCGATCTAGTGGCGCCTTTTGCTTGCCGGAATCTACCCAGTCGAGTTTCGTGATTTCTTCCTTGGCGACATGTACTGTTCTCAGACATATGCCATGGGAAACATCGAGCTCTTCTTCTGTCTATACGCCTCGTACTGGGATTACCCTCCCAAGTGCAACTCCTCCCACTCTCGACTCTTGGGCTTCTTCCAATGCCTTCCCTCAGTCTGGCGAGCTTTCCAGTGTATTCGCCGATACGTGGACACAAAGAACGCATTCCCCCATCTCCTGAACTTGGGCAAGTACATATTTGGCGTCCTCTTCTATGCTACTCTCAGCATGTACCGCATAAACCTCCACACGCGTTTCCAAGCCTCGTTCATCACCTTCGCTCTCCTGAACGCCGTCTACACCTCAGTATGGGATCTAATCATGGACTGGAGTTTGGGTAACCCATACGCAAAGAACCCAATGCTCCGCGAAGTCCTCGCCTTTCGTCGCGTATGGGTATACTACGCCGCAATGCTACTCGACGTGGTCGTCCGTTTCAACTGGATCTTCTACGCAATATTTATCACAAACATCCAACAGTCCGCGCTGCTTAGCTTCATGGTCTCCTTCTCAGAAGTCTGCCGCCGTGGTGTCTGGTCCATCTTCCGTGTCGAAAACGAGCACTGCACAAACGTCCTCCTCTTTCGCGCTTCCCGTGATGTCCCTCTTCCCTACGATATCCCCGCCCCAGCTGCTGCCCCTCTCGACGGCTCACTAGAAGACGTCCAACTCCAAGAACAGCAGCAGCAGCACGCCTCTACGCCGTTCATGTCACCCGGCGATGTCGAACACGGCACCCCGTCCATGTCTAGTATGCGTGCTCGACACCGCCGTCCCTCGATTACTATTAGTCGGGTCGGCACGATCGTTGCCTCAGCCCACGCTCAAGATTTCGAGCGAAGACGTCTACCAAATTTCTTGTCTAGCGCGAGTGTTGGACGGAATATGGGCCACGGCGCAGACGATAGCACGGACGAAGATGACGAGGGTGATCTGAGCACGGATGAGGATTCGAAATCGGTGGCCGAGGGTCAACGGTCCAGACCGGTTTCAGAGCGCAGGGATACTATGGGGAGAATTCTTGAGTAAATTTTCGGGGGTAGGCTGTGCCAACTCCCTGTCAACTACTACAGGGGATATGGTCTATCGGTCCCGCTGAGCCATTGCTTTGATGTGAAACTATAGATATCTTCAGTATCTTGCATATACTTATCTTGCTAAAATACATATTAATCTTGGTCTCGGTTGAGTTTTCCTCACAATCATACGTATTACGAGATAACTCAACGGATATTCCGAGGTTGGCCCGAGTCAGGATATTCTTTCCTCGAAGGGTATTCGCTTGGTACGTGCTCCTTCCCCTTCTATACATATGATCGAACTATGGATAGGCTTGCCTGATATGACCATCGTATGAGGATCTGAAGATAGCATGAGGGGAACTGCGGTCGCCGTTCTTAGCCGAGAGCTCTGGGGCTCTATTTTCCAAGGTTGTCGCCTCAGACCACCAATTATGTAAAGATGACCTGGCTCGTAGCTAGTTGGATCTCTCCTCCGCCTTCTCTCTTCTCCCCTCTCTCTTGCGACCGCTCGACTATGTTGTATGTTGTACATACAAATGCACCACCGTCTTTCTATCCATAAAACGCCTTGCTTGTGTGGCAGTCCCTTGAAGTTCCCATATAGGAAGTTGTCTCCGGGCTAGGCCTCGGGATGCGGGGTGGCAAACCTAAACCGAAATGTCTTTCATCGGCCAGCGTCGGCCTCGGGGGTGCCTAGATCTTACGTGGCAAGGGTTCCATCGTTTCATCTTCATGGGCCAACATTGAGACCACCCGAGCGGTGTACAACATATGTCTGCGGGTGTATCGCCATATACCCCTTGCTTACAACACACATGGCAGCGCTACCAAATTGCTGCCTCGATGGGAGAGAGTATTGAAGCGATGGTCATAATTGGTATGCGATGAAAGCACGCCGTTTCGGTATCTTCGGGATATGCGAGGAGTAAGTTGCGGAAACTAAACACGGATTGAGCGGGAGACAAGGGGGAGGGATATCAACCAAAGTTCATGGCTTGCAATCGGGCTGATCGACTAGCCTCAACATTATATTTTTGTAAAAACGACCTATCAACGGTACCACCTCCCTTTTGCAGTTAATCTCATTTACTTTCCTTGGCGTAGGATAGCCATCTTCGGGCTCCCGGCAGGATTGTTTCTAGAAGGCAATTCCCTGCATGCATGTTGCATGCTTTACGACTCTTCTAGAACAATTCCGATAGGAAAATCGCGCATGAACAAAGTTCGAGGTTATCGTGAAGAGCAAGAGATACGGAAATGTGAAAATAATCGAAGTGGATCATTCCGAAATAGGCCAAAGTACTATTTCTCAACGTTTCAGCTTCAACTCCATATGCTGATTTAAGCAACACAAGTCCTGGGAGTGGATAGTTAGGTCTCGTATTGCAAAGTTAGTCTACGGAGTCACCGTCCAGAGGTTCATGTTCTATTTTAACGGGGCGCACGTAGGGAAGTTCATCGGATCCTTTTCATCTATGTTACTCGCGTGCAGTTGGCAGATTCCTATTTCGGTGTTTCCGGGCTACGACGATCGCACTACCGCCCAACCAATGGGGGCCAAATACATTTTGAATCCAATCAATGGTAAAGATGAGAGACATAAGATATAATAGAATCATGATATCTATCAAATAACACGTGAGCGGTGACCGGCTACGGTCACCCGGTCTAAGCAAATGCCTCAGTATGAAACCGGATGCTTGGCTAAATGAGAAAGCCACCTAAGCCACTCAAGGCCCCCCCCTATTCTGTTCTTTTTTTCTCTTTTTTTCTCTTTTTAAACCCCTCATCTAGTGCAACCAATGACGTCGATATTGGCCAAAGCTTCGATATTCACTTGGCTTATCTGCAATTTCATAATATTTTCGGGGTTTCTAAGGTTATCAGTAAATTTAAGTCAGACTTTTTCAATGAGATTAAGAGATAACATCAGATAACTGCGATAACATTGATAAAAAAAAGGAATTGTCCCTTTAGAACATGAAATATTCCATTATTTTTGTCTGATTTTGTCTGATTTTGTCCGGGAAGAAAGTACCGGGATGTCCGGAGGCGTTAGGGGGCGTTTTTGTGGGCGTAATGTAGTTTAGTTAAGGTTGCACAATTCGAACTTCTCCGCGTCTCCCCATGGGGTAGTTATGGAGTTATGGAGCCTAACCCGTCGACATTTTCTTCTCCACATAGTCTCCACGTAGTCATACAACGGGCCGGTCATAATGCCATGTCAGGATATTCAAAATGGAGATAATTTATTATTTCCCAGTTTTTCCGGGGATCTGCGATTGAGTTCTGAAACTAGGCTAGCGTATGATTCCATTGCAAGGTGAGCGAATATCCCCAGTATCCACATTGGGTGTTAGACGACTCGGCATTTACTGCATTGACTCCAATTATCTAAACCCTTATCTGTTTCTCTGGGCGCCCCATCGGTCAGCCAGCTGGTCGGAGGGAGTTATAAGCGGTGCGACATCCACCTACTCCAAGACCCATTTTTTTTTTGTATCCGCTGTACATTCCCCATTCTTCAATATGTTGGATTTCAAAAAAGAAAAAGATATCGAGGGTCTTACCCCGTCCGAGAACAGTGATCCCCACCATCAAGTTCAAAATCACGATGATGTGTTTGGAGAGATCACAGAATCGGGACCTAACTACCGAAATGTATGTTCCTTCTTCCCTTCTTTTTTTATTCTCCAAAAACATGTCCAATTGTAGTCAAACTAACATCTCTTTAGGTAGGATGGGCAGGAACAGTGATTCTCATGATGAAGAGCCAGATCGGTCTCGGTGTCCTTTCTATCCCAGCTGCTTTTGACACATTAGGCCTTGTGCCAGGCATTATCTGCCTACTCATTGTTGCAATCATTACAACATGGTCCGACTACATAGTCGGCATATTCAAGCTTAACCATCGCTCAGTCTATGGTATCGACGATGCCGGTTTCTTGATGTTCGGAGCGATCGGTCGTGAGATTTTCGGCTTTGCATTCTGCCTATGTAGGTCTATACAATTATAACGATTCCATATTCCTTATTAACAATATAATTTAGATTGGATCTTCGTCGCCGGCTCAGGAATGCTCGGTCTTTCAATCGCCCTCAACTCCGTCTCAAGCCACGCCACATGCACAGCCGCCTATGTTGCCGTAGCAGCCGTCGGAGGAATCGCTTTCGCCAGTATTCGCACACTCGGAAAAATCAGTTGGCTAGCGTGGATTGGATTGACTTGCATTCTGATCGCAAGTAAGTTTTCCCCGACGTCACGGGATCTATCACAGCCCTAACCGCTTCGTACTATAGTCTTCATCGTTACCATCGCTGTCGGCGTTCAAGATCGTCCCGTATTGGCCCCACAAGAAGGAACCTGGGTATCGGATTACAAGATCATTGGCAACCCTACATTCAGTGAAGCCATCTCCGCCGTTGCCTCGATGGTCTTCGCCTACGCCGGTACCCCCGCATTCTTCTCTATCGTATCGGAAATGCGCGACCCCAAGTACTACACCCGCTCCTTGATCATCTGCCAAAGCGCCGTGACTATTGTCTACGTCACCATCGGTGTTGTGGTCTACTACTTCTGCGGTTCATATGTCGCCTCGCCAGCTCTTGGTTCCGCCGGTGTCACCATGAAGAAGATCAGTTACGGCTTTGCCATTCCAGGTCTTCTGGTTACTGTGATGTTGTTCGTTCACGTAAGCACTTCCTCTCGTCCTTTTTATCGATGACGAACTAACACCACTCATAGCTCCCCGCGAAATTCATCTTCGTCCGCGCTCTCAGAGGCTCCAAGCACCTTACCTCTAACAGCATTGTGCACTGGGGTTCCTGGATCGGCTGCACCGCAGGTGTCGGTTTGATTTCCTACATTATTGCCAGCGCCATCCCCGTCTTTGACAGTCTCGTCTCGCTTATCGGTGCTTTGCTTGGTACATTCATGTGTTTCCAGCCCATGGGTTGCATGTGGCTCTACGATAACTGGAGCAAGGGCAAGATCGACCGATCACCGAGATGGATGGCGATGGTTTGCTGGAGTGTCTTTGTTATTGTTATTGGTACTTTCATGATGGTCGCTGGTACATACGGCTCTGTTGTCAGCATTATGGACAGCTATGCGGCGAACGGTGGTTCCGCTGCTTGGTCCTGTGCGGATAACTCAAATTCTTCATAGATCGGTGGGTCTAGAGGTCAGTAGCAGATTCTGCTGCTGATATGTCTGAAACGGTGCATTAGAAATACCTATATATATTTAAAGTGTGTTAGAAATGTCATATAATTCAATGTCTTTTCTGTCTTGTCTCAGCAATGTTCCGCTGGCTCTCTTGTATATCAGAAGCGTTTCTTTTTAGCATCGCAGCTTATAGGTGAGACTAGACCTCTTTTGAGACTACACCAGCGCAGTTTTGTGGAAGGAGCTTCTGAATCCATGGATTGGGAAGGCACGTCTCCACGTACGAGTATAACCCACAGACACGGCCACCCGACACCCCCCACCACATCCCATCCCCCCCCCCCCTCTTTTCCCTCTTCCACTTCATTTTCAACTCAAATTACACGAGAGATATAATCCATATTATGTTCAACCATCAATTGCTGTATACTATACTATGTTCTAGTACGTAGTCGCAAGCCCCTGAGTATCAACAAATTGTATCGCAATGGCATACTATCAATCAGGCCAGATAGGAATTTCTCCGGTACAGCATCCCAGGCCTCTTGAACTACATAACGAAGCTTCGACAAAAGAAAGTGTTAATCTATATACTTTCTCTCGATATAATCCTTCGTCTAGTTCTATAACTCCTCAATAGGATTCAAATCAGGTGAAAGGGCAGGCTATTTCATCACAATAACCCCAAGTTCCTCGAAGAAATGAAGAGTCTCACTATAGGAAAGGGAGGCAAATCAGAAACACCGGGGGAGGGGGTGAACCTTTATAGGGTAGACTGTTGTAAATATCTCGGTTGATACCCTTCGACGTACCCTATCTCGAAGGGGTTATAACTGGCGTATTGCGATTGGTCGACCAGCAGGCTGGATATCTGGTGAATCTTATGCTGCACATATTACCCCTTTGATAGAAGGCTTCTTCAGATCAAGAAGGGATATTGATCCGATTGCTATGCACGATAATGCTCCTGGGAATGCTGCTAAAGAGACTCTTGATTTCTTGGCGGAGCTTGGGGTTATTGTGATGGGATGGCCTGCTTTTTCACCTGATTTAAACCCTATTGGGGAGATATAGAACTGGATAAAGGGTTCTATCGAGAGAAAGTATAGAGATTAACACTTTCTTTTGTCGCAGCTTCGTGGGGTGGTTCGGGAGGCCTGCGATGCTGTACCGGATGAATTCCTATCTAATCTGATAGATAGTATGCCATTGAAGTGCTAGGCAGTTAGTGATGCTCAGGGACATACTAGCACTTACTAGAGAATAGTATATAGCAATTGATGGTTGAACATATGGATATCTGTCCAGTAAGTTGACTTAGTAGAAATACAAAAGGATTTGAGGGTTGAGAACTCTGTTTTTTTTTTTTTTTTTTTTTTTTTTCAAAAATATTGTAGTATTCGTCTGTAAAAATACTATGTACAATACTACGCTAATTTTCCGCTAGCAAAGATGGTGAATTTTTATAGGGTAGACTGTTGTCGACCCTTGTGAATAAGGCCCGCAAGTATCGCCATAAATGAGAGATCATGCGGGGTTGCGTATGGCTAGCTGGATAATGTCAGGCTAGATTACCGAAGACCTTTGTCATCAAACAAAAATTATTCTCACGTAGGGGCTTCACAGAATTAGTTAATAAAGATGTGATAGGATGTCTTTTTCTCATGCTAAATATGTAAACCCTTATGTATCGTGAGGTCTCTTAGATATCATTATTTTTGACAAAACCACAATGACGTCATTATGTCGGATGAACGGATAAAATAGCTTGCCCTAATTTTAGAGCACCCATTTGATGACTGATGGAAGCCAGCTTGCTAAGGCATGACGTGAACAAGCCCACAATGGTTTAGATAGTTGCAGCTAGATAGTTTAGAAGCACACTCAAGATGTGATGAAACATACGTGTCTTCTTGGAATCGTCACACCGCATGTTGTGCTGTGTCTGATAGTGTTTAGAATGGATCTTGCATGAGATTTCAGTCAGCCTTCGCGACGATCATTTCTAGGGGAAGACAGATCATATACGAACCCTGCATATACAACATAGCTATCCAAAGTTTGCTTTCGCCCTTGTGATAGGTAATATCACATGGCGCCCGTTCGCAATTGGGAGTTCTTATAATAACCGTAGCCATGCCCGTCTTCTGGAAGCCTTATTCTATCTTGAAAATTCTCTCGCGTTGTCATCGTACATCTACCATCAAGCCCTAAAAATGAGTGTGGAGAAACGGATTAAGGAGATAATTGCAGAGCAGCTAGACGTAAAGGTGGAAGAGGTAATTCTCATAACCTTCCTATATATGAAGTTATCCTCATTGTTGTCTAACTTGCTGCATCTAGATCACGGGAGAGAAAAGTTTTGTACATGACTTTGGGGCCGATTCTCTGAGTGGGGTGGAGCTCATCCTGGCTCTCGAAAACGTGAATATTGATCATTGTTATCTTTCATTACGCTCACATACTAATAACAAGGATAGGAATTCAGCATCAATATTGAGGATAAAGAAGCGGAGAAAATCACTACAGGTAAAGTCGAGCTTCAACTGAACTTATAGAACGGAACGTGAGAACGACTGACAATATTATAGTTTCTGCGGCTATCGACTATATCAAGGCTCATATCCACGAGACTAGAACCGATGAGTAACCAGACATTGGAGCTTTCAATGGGAGACAATACGATGCTTTAAAAAATTCCAAGGCAATTCAGATAAGGTCATAATCACAATACAGTGAAGGTTGGAGCGGGGTTGAAAAGGAATGTCGTGAGAGGGCGGTATATACTGTACTATCTCATGATATATATAGTTGCCAATAGCAGCCTTTATACTTTTAGTGGTGCTAGTAGGAGTTTCGTGAACATTTTCGCCCTTTCTAGGAAGGAGGTTGGCAACTGACGTAGCTACTCTATAACAAATGAAATGTCGATCAATATTGATCTCATGGATTTTGAAAATTGTCTCTAGGTCAAGCATCTCCTGTCCAAAGTCCCCTGCTCAAACCCGATGACTTCCCATCTTCTCAGGCATTTCCTGCTTCTGCTTGGCGCAACGACTGCTGTCGTTAGCTCAGGCCAAGGAGGATGGAAGAATGGCTCCAAAGCAACCGGAGAGGCAGACCCAAATGTTACCACGGACTGCGACTATTGGGCAAACAATGTCCAAATCGGGGACACTTGTGAGATGATTGAAGATTTCTTTGGCATAACTGAGGCACAATTTGAAAATTGGGTGATTTCTTCTCCATTCTCTCAATTCTACATTTTGTAGCATGCTAATCGATGTATCTCTACAACCCTGAGTTGAAGACAAACTCGCAATGTAAGATGGTCCCTGGATTCAGTTACTGCGTTTCCGGTCCTGCTTGTTCGGCGCGTTCGAGTTCGGCGGTATCATCGGCTTCTCTAGATAGAATAATCACGTATAATGGTACCGCTGCACCAGTTCAAACTGGACTTACAAAAGCTTACACTCAGTATTACCTGGTGCAGAATGGCGATACTTGTTATAATATTCAAAATCGGTACATGAACTTTACTCTTGCTCAGTTCTACAGTTGGAACCCGTGAGTATCAAGCCCTCTCTCTTTGGCTAGGTTTCAGCCAAATATCTACACTTTCTAACGTCAGTAGAGCTATTTCTGGCTGCAAGGGACTAGTGGAGGGTGACTATGTCTGTGTAGGAGCAAAGGGCTCCTCCATTCCATCTTCTTCATCGTCTGCCTTCCCAACACAAAGTGGAGTCACATCCAAGTGTAAGTCATTTGCTATGATTGTCTTCCTGAAAGCCATTTTCCATTCTAACAAAATTTAACACAGGCAACAAGTGGCACTATGTATCCGGCAATGATACCTGTAGCTCCATTCTCTCGGAGTTCGGTCTCACTGCGGCTCAATTTTACTCCTTGAACCCCGCTACTGGAGCTAACTGTAGCGCCTTGTGGCGGAAAACCGAAGCCTGTGTCGGCGTTCCTGGTATATACCTTTTCCTTGACCAAGACCCATCAATTACAATCTAACGTCCGCAGGATTCACGCCATCTCCAACCACGAGTACCACAAAACCAACTGCAACTGGGCCCGGATCAGTGCCATCGCCCGTGCAAAGTGGTATTGCATCAAACTGCAACAAATATTACAAAGTTCAGAGTGGAGATACATGCAATTCCGTTGAGAAAGACAAGGGCATCAGTGCAGCCGACTTCAATAAGTGGAATCCGGATGTGGGCTCTGATTGTGCGAATTTACAGCTGGACTTCTACGTTTGTGTTGGTCTTACGGGTACAGTCTCTTCGTCCAGTCAAAATAAACCGCTGGTTCTAATGTTCGATAGGATCTACTACCTCCATCACCACTACACATGCCACTACCGCCAAAACGACAACGGCACCTGGATCGGTGCCTTCTCCTGTGCAAAGTGGGATTGCATCTAACTGCACCAAGTACTATAAAGTCAAGAGTGGTGATACTTGTTACCAACTTGAGAAAGACAATAACATCAGCGCGGCGAATTTCCTCAAGTGGAACCCGGCTGTGGGCTCGGACTGCAAACAATTGGAGTTGAATGTCTATGTCTGCGTTGCAGTGTAAGCCGAGGAATACTTGAACGGTCATGGAATTTTCTCTGCTACTGATTTCCGCACATGTTTGCCGGGAATATGTTTATCAGGTTATAGCGTTTCTAGACTAGGTAGAACCTCATAAGAAACCCATTACACACATCAAGTTCGAAACATGCCAATATCCCATAGCAGATTTCTCCATATCCTAGAAGTAGCAGAGCATCTCTCGAATCCCATAACCGCTTTTGGTCACTTTTTGACTGTAATTTTCGACTCTCGGAATTATATCTCTTCCTATGGACAAGGAAGAGAGTAGTTTATTTGTCTATTCTTCCATTTCATCTTTTTTTTTACAGATGCCTCTAAGGCTGCAAGCCCACTTCGGGAAGTGTCCAGGCAGAACGTGAGTCGTGACAAGTTGATGTTTTCTACATTATTCTTTACCATTAAGTCCAGTTCCCTAGGATGAGAAGATTTCTGCTATCCCCACTCTCAGATGCACCTGCAGTCGTATATGCAGGGGTTGAAACTCTGGCGTCACTTGAAACCCCACTCAACTACTCTGTACAGCCATGGTGGATCGTGAGATATCGTGATCCCAGGCTCCGTCATATCTAACCACGGCCTCCGAGTTTCGCACCCCTGAAAACTTCATCAAAATCTAGACTAGGTATTGCACCGAATGGGTCTAGCAATCCTTGGAGGAAACCTACATCAAATATGATATATGCTGAGTTTGGCTAGCGGCATTTTACTCGGCCAGGTGAATAATCGGGCAACAAATCCATGTAACGCCGCGTCTGAAAGAATACCCTCGACTAGGGTATTCCCTCACTTGATGCGCTTCGTTTGACTAAATGCTACTAGGGCCCACTCAGGGATTGTAAGAGCTCATTTTTAGTATTCGCGAAAACCCTAGCTCAGAAAAATTCTTTATCGCCTAACGGTGTTTCCCGGATGCTGAAATGGTGATGTCTGGTCACTTTTAGGATGAAAGCCTTGAGGATTTAATACTCACTGAGAGTTTGTTTTCGGATTTTCATTATCCTACAGCTTTTAATATATCCCTCTTGGCTGACTGCCACAACCCTCTGAATAAATTATGACACCCACAAGATAGTTTGGAATTTATCGGGTCCATACTCTTTTAGTGATTTATGAAGTCCGAAGACATGCCACTTCGAAACCGGCCCTACTCCATTTGTCAAGACCTGGTTCCTTCGGTTGCTAGATATGTCTTATGGTTTATGTACTCTATAGCTATCCCGAGTTAAGCTCCCAAGATATTTATAGGGTTTACATACTCTTGGTGCCTAGGGTACCTATGCTTCGGTGAATTGGAGTATTCAGCCGGTAATTACCCGTGGACTACTACTGGGCATAGTATACACACATACGGAGTAAAGAAGGGTACATTAACCCACGGCTTGGCACGGTTAGAGGCCACCTGCGTGGGCCTCGGGGGCCGCCTGGACAGGCGATAGGATAACGTAAGCGAAGAATTCTGAGGTCCCGCCGAGGTCCGGTACCCACTTCCACGTCGATCCCTATTACTTGTTGAAAGCTCAGGCATCTAGATCAGCAGCCCTAGAGCTATTCTGAACTCATCTCATCAGTACTTTCCACACGTCCTAATAAATATTTTACTATCATGCCTCAGCTTGACAGTGTCACTCGATCATCTGTGGGTTCTCTATATGCCACTAATCTAAGCCGCGCCGCTTATGTTTCCTAGCCTCCAACATCTCGAAAATCCACCTTACCCGCTCATTCAGCTACCAAGTCTACTAGTGAAGTTCCTCCTGTGCTACCAGTAAGGAATTTTTGAAATCCTACTAGCTTAAGTTGAATCGCTTACAAGTATTATTTTGGGAAGTTCATCGTTCCCCCAGGCTGGACAGCTCGTCCCGGGAGCCCTAGTTTTGAATACGAGTGGGATGGTGTTGATTCATCGGGTCAAAAGATTGCTCGAAGCTATGGTCTTACCCCGGGTCGACCATTATTAGAGGACGAAGACGCCTCTACAATGATTTTTCAATCCGGCGATAAACTCTATATGTGGGACGTGCTATATTATGATGTCTATGAACTGGCATCTCAGGACATCAATGAAGTCTCTCGTGTTTTATCTCAGGAAGGAGGCATGAAGAAACTGGAGAGACGCCTTCTTGATCCAGTTGAAGATATTGCTGTCTAAGCATGATAGTTATGCCGACTTAGGAGGGGATTTGAGGAGGATTGCAAGAGGTCATGTGGCTACACGAGCGACACGAATAACTTTTTTTAAGCTGGTGGGGGTGTTCTTCTTTTTTCTTTGCTTTGGTTTTTGTTCCTAGTGCAGCCTAATTGTCAACAAGAATATCTTTAGATATTATTGTCACCCAGCGTCCTTGGTGGGATATATATATATGCTAACGCACTTTTCACGCCTCCTCTAGCGGCTGTTGGCCATTAGTTCAATGTTTGACGTGTCTAGGTAACTAGGGTAGCCTGTACAGTAGGAGACGTTGGGGTTTGCATATTTCCTTCAATACTCCTTTTTGTAGTTCCTCGTATCGGTTTTGCGTAGGCAATTCGTATAATTGCTCTGGTATATACAGTACTATACTCAATTTCATTTCTCAAGGTCCGAACTAGACTCCCTCCTAAGACAGCAGTCGGTAACTATTTCCTAAAGACCGCGGTAATTGAAGGTAGTATCCATGGATTTACTAACCCATACATAGCCCAATTGACCCATTTGTTGTACTTCACGGCGAGAGAAATTGGATTTAGTAAAGGCAGAAGACCCTAAAAAAGATATGTATCCTGTTACAAATCGAGATAAACATACATCCGTTTATAGATAGAAAAGAGAAAAAATAATCACACTCAGTCGACCCAAGGATCTTATTATTACTACCATACAGGGGAGCCAATGTTTTTCGAAACGCTAGTAACGCGGTTGTAAGAGGGTATCAAACGAAACACAAATGGTCATAAGTGCATTTTTTAGCTTGATACTCTTTTTTTTTTTATCAGAACGTTGTCCACTTCATATATCAGTAATTAAAGATAGTTAGTTATACAACATACGTTTTAGAGCTCAATACTTCTTCTAGCCCGGGGTTTTAGGGCCGTTTTACGAAACAACTTCTAGTTTCAACTCCGTTTAAGCAATGATATAGGCGCGTTTTCAAAATCATTCCAAGTTTCAAACCAACTAATCATTCAACTTTCCAGGTAGAACTATGAGGCCGTGGCCTACGGCAGCCCTTTTAACCGCCATCGCGCCAACCTTCCCACCTGCCCGGCATATAATTACTTACATAAGCAGCATCCACCCCCGGCCATATTTAGCTTATCGCACGTGACCCATCACATCACTCTGGCTCCACCTCCAGGCTTCATTCATCTCTCTCTTGTCGATTCATTTCAACAACACTAGTGCCGAGAGACAAACGTATCTCAATCTACCACCATGGCGGAAAATACCAGATATGAGGCCGCTCCTCAGCGAGACTCCTTGGACGAACCGTCCTATTCCCACGCCCCTCCCTCCTACCAGGCCACAGCCCAGCCAGCGGAGCCAGCGCCTCGCAGCGAAGACGACAATCTGCCAGATGATTTCAAGGTGTGTATACGACACATGCGAGCATGAGCCAAACTAGGAAGATGGAAACTAACAAATATAGTTCGGAGGCACCGTTGCCGAAGGCACGATCGACATCCGAATGCAATTCGTTCGCAAAGTATACTCCATTCTGTAAGTCCAGAACAAACACAGATGCAAGTTCATCGATCCACAAACTCCCTGCTAACAACCTCAGAACGGTGCAGCTCCTCCTCACAACGGTCCTCAGCTCGATCTCCTTCTTCAGCACATCCTACCGCACCTGGATCCAGTCCAACTTCTGGTTGATGATAATCTCCGTCTTCGGTGCTCTCGGCTTCATGCTGGCGACATTCTGGAAGCGCAAGTCCTATCCAGCAAACCTGCTCTTCCTGTCAGGATTCACAATCCTCGAAGCGTACTCAATCAGTGTGGCGACATCTTTCTATGACGCGAGGGTAGTTGTGCAAGCGCTCGCACTGACCCTGGGACTCTTTGTCGCCTTGACGCTCTTCGCATGCCAGACCAAGTACGACTTCACCGACTGGATGCCATACCTGTTCGGCGCGTTGTGGTTCATGATTCTGTTCGGGTTCGTGGCTATGTTCATCCCGTTCAACAGCACCATGGAGATCGTATATGGTGTGCTTGGCGCGCTCATCTTCTCTGGTTATATCCTCGTCGATACGCAGCTGGTTATGCGACACTACCATGTTGAGGAGGAGATCGCTGCTTCGATCTCGCTTTATCTCGATGTGCTTAACTTGTTCTTGTCCATTCTGCGGATTCTGAACGGTGCTAACAACAATAATTAAATTGCGCGTTGAAGGATTTGGCTGACAGGGGATACGTACAATTTTGCCCGAATTGCCCGAATTGCCTGCTTTGGGTAGGTTCTGGATCAGAGGGCAGTTGCTGGACAAACAAGCTTGTGTTTTGGTGTTTCTCGAACTTTTTTGCTTTACGTCGGGTCTTGCTTGAATCGCGTTCTACTGTACACTCCATATCGTGAACTTCTACCAGTCTATTCATTGTCTACCTTGAATCCTATCTTTCCTCTTCTTTACCTACCCAATAAAGTAACTAGTCATGGTATGACCGCATAAATTAGCAGTCAGCTGATATAGAAATTAAGCAACCATGTCAATAAATACAATTCTCCAAACGCCCACCATGGACAACCCAAATCAAATGAAATTTAAACTGTGCAAAGAGCAATACCCAACAGGATAAACACCACACGAACATCTAAAGTAATAAGCAAGGAGAAAGAATATGCAAAGGAGAATGGGCCTGGCGAACAGGCAAGAAAACCCAAGGAACTAAGTTCGTTGGATGGTATATGGTAACTCAAAGATCATGACAAGATCAGGTCGAGGGCAACAAAAGGGGGGGAAAGAATTTTCATATGGTAATAGAGGAGTCTATTAGTGCGA